CCCATAATTTCTTAGTTAGTTTTTATTATTGGGCTTGTCACCATATTAATGTAGCTGTACATTCAAATTGATTGTAATTGCAAATTTCCTGAAAAAGCTTGGTTTCTGCAAGTATTTAATTAAACTGATATCCTAAATTAAAAATAATTATGTAACTGTACTCCACTACAATAACACATGCATGCTTCTCTCTACAATGAAAATGGTATTTCACATAATTCATACAATATGTGGATTAATATTGCCCAATTAAAGGTCAGTTTCCACTAGAAAAGGAGGAATAATTAACTTCAATATTTAGAAACCTGACATATTTCAATTAAGCAAGCAATTTGTCACAAACTTCATAAATCAAGTTATCAAGGAACAACTTAATAATGGTTATAATAAATAGAGGTGGTGAAAAATCAGCCTATTCCTTCTTGTGGCATAATTTTGCCTTAGTAAATGGTTTATATAGAAAGCCTTCCACTGCTAGGTCACGAGGTCATACCTAGCGCTGCTCAGTAACTACTGCCGCTTATTTCCAGGAGGCCTGTGAAACAGTCAGTAGTCTCTGCTGAGCCGTTCTCTCTGGTACACAAATAAACCCCATGTCTCTGCCCTCAAAGCCTCTTCAGCAGGACAGGAACTGGCCTCAGACCAAGGACCTGCCTGCCCCAACCCCACGTGTGGTGAGAATCTGGAGCAGACATTGAGCTCTCCTTCACCGTTGGGTCTGATCCTGGCAGTACACTCACAGATCTCAGCGACCTCCAGACTGTTCTTTTTGCATCACTAAGTGAACTCTGAGGCAGAGTTTTGGCAAAGCAAAAATACCTGTTACGAATGAATATCTCCTCATGGGAGAACAGAAAACATTTTGAAAGGAAAATTTCATGTTTTTTGTTGAAAATACGTGCAAGACTTCTACAGTACTTCACCTGAGGGACAGTCAAGTACTGTCAGTGTGAGTTTGTGGAGCAATAGAAAAAAAACGTGCTCCCCAGAAGTCCAAAACACTCTTTGCTTTTTCTCAGTCCTTCTGCAGAGCCACGTGAGGCTGTGGAGGCTGGTATTGCCTGGGAGGGAAAAGAAAGATACGTGAACTGAGAAAAATTGTCAGGTTTTGGTCAGCTGCCTGCTGGCTTCCTTTCAATAGACTCATCAAATTCACAGCTTTTCTACAGAACATTTAGTTTCCATGAGCGAGCCTTTTCTACTGGAAAGTTTCCAAAATGATTGACCTGACACTGCTCATGCTTATCTTTAAATAAACTGCAGAATCTGTTTTTCACAATGGCTGAGTTAATCCATTCAGAAATGCTAATGCCAATGAATATATATCTACAGAACAGCAAAGTTATGATCGGGATTTTGAACTCTCATAATTCAAAGAAAATATGAAACAGGTTTTTGATTTCATCCTCCATGGGTATAAGATGTGAGTATGAAATATTGCTCCAAGCTCTGCTCCAAGCCATTCAAAGTCCAGTGTTTGCTCTTAGGATTTGGTTTGAACTCTTATCTACAACTTTTTCAGTATTAACTATGTTCAGATTTTTTGCATGAGGTTGGGATACATAGCAAATAGGTAATCATGTTCCCTCTGCAATACACATCTGAAACCTCAGCTCTAATCTCAGTCCAAGTTTCTGAGGATGCCACTGATATTGCAATTATCAGAAAAACATATTTACTTGCTATTTAAATGATCACCATGAAATCTCAAGAGAAATGGCTATGGAACTTTCAATTTTTTGTCATTGCTTGCCTCAATTTCTTGTGTACATCCATAGCAAGGTTTCACTGTAATTGAAAGATCCATATATAATAACAAGTTAATACATAGAGTTCCCTGGTGCATATCTAGAGCATCAATGACGGGAATGTAAAATTACAGTAAGGGATGGGAAAAGTGAGAAGACAGTTGCCTTTCCAACACAGAGTATCATTTTCTTTTCCCTCCTTCACTGGCAGCCTTCAGCATTTCTCCACATGCAACATCTAATTGAAAAGAAACCAAAAATAATATGCATTGTATCACAGTAGCCTGTGTTCCTCAACTCTGTTATGTTCATAACACAAGTAAAAGTTTGCACTTTTAGTTTGGAACCCTAATTCTAAAACAAGATCCTAAGGTACCCCAGAATATCCTGTCTTCATCTTGCCTTACTTACCTTTCTGAAAATCCACTGTTTGCTTCCCCTTGGGTAAATCTGACCCTTCTGGGGGAAAAAAAAAATAAAATGGTGTAATTTACTTTTCAAGCAAAACTATTTTCTGGTAAATGTTCAAAGTATTTTCTTAAGAAATGGCCAATTTGAATTAGAAACTGGCATTTTCTTTGTTTGTCTGGGAGATGCATCTTGAATTATAGTGTCCTGAAACAAAATGAAATGGGAATTATTACATATTCAGGGATTATATTTGTTCTGGCATTCTTTGCTGTCCACATGTTCACATCAGGATAATTTTTCCTATTTCTACATTGCCATATATTTGGCAGGTAAGGAAATATAAATAGTAGCATGGTTAATCAATCCAATCCTGTTGGAGAGGAACTGAAGGGAGACCTTTGTTGTTGTGTAAATCTAGCTGTGACAGAAAACCCTGTGCCTCTCTTTGCCAATAAGAATTGGTTGGAAATTGAGTGAATTGGGAAATAATAGCTATAAATATGCTTATGAGTTACTGGCTTGATCCCACAAAGCATTTTCATTAACATCCAAACTTAGAAAGTGATTGAAGTTCAGGCACAAACTTAAAATGAAGCATATGATTAAATGCATATTCTCTTTGGGAGGCATTAATAAAAGTCTGCTTTTTTCAATATTGTGCCTGTTATGCTGCCAGGGGAGCTTATACTCAGAAACAAGGGGACAGAGAGCTTTCTGTAAGGCAAGAGATTTACTTCACCTTTATCTGCAGTAAAGATCATGGAGATATAAGATGGCTACCTTCTGCAGATGGAAATAATGGATCTGCCTCTTATCTACCATTCCAAGTTCATGCAATTGAGGACTATAGATCATTTCTCTTACTGCTTTTTCCCTCCACTCAGTGCTGCCAGAAAAGTGTGATAACTCATTGTAACCTATACTTCAGGCAGCTATCAGATCAACAACACTGATCAGGTGATTACAAGTACTGGAAAGTAATGTGATGTCTTGCAGAATGTATATCTCCGCTTCTCTTGGAAGTAAATATTTGTGTGTGTAGAAGTGATCTTGGAGCATACCCTGACTATAGCTATGGATCAGTTTCTCTTTCTCATGATTGCACATCATTTGGCTCCCATTCAAGGAGTTTTGAGTGGTGGGGATGTGAGTTTGCATTTCTGTATGGTAAACTTCTCTAAGGTCTACCTAAGAGGTGGGGAATGATCCTGAAAGGATTCAGAAAGCTCTCATCATCTGAGGCAAGGGCATAGAGTACTTCTGTAGCATGAAAAACAAAACAAAACAAAATCTCCCAAAGGGGCTATCATCACCATATAGTGTCCAGTACAGCAAGTTTTGGCCCACTGTCCAAGCCAGCTCTGCAACCCCAGCCACATTTCTTTTTACTCTGAGCCTCTTCTTCTGTTCTTCTGGCACTGAGAATCTGACACCACCACTATTTTCTAAGTGGCACTATGAAATACATTAAGAGCCAAGGGGAAGCCAGGGTAACTGTTGCTGTTTAGTAAGTGTTGTCAGTGTTCAAGAGAGGTTTGGATAATGCCCTTAAATGACATGCTTCAGCTTTTGGTTAGCCCTGGAGTAGCCAGGCAGTTGGACTCAGTGAGGTCAGATCCTTTCTAACTGAACTAGTCTATGCTATGCCACACCACATCAAGCCATGCCACGCGATGCCACACAATGCCACACTATTCTATTCTACTCTATTCTACTCTATTCTGTTCTGTTCTGTTCTGTTCTGTTCTGTTCTGTTCTATTCTATTCTATTCTATTCTATTCTATTCTGTTCTGTTCTGTTCTGTTCTGTTCTATTTATTCTATTCTATTCTATTCTATTCTATTCTATTCTATTCTATTCTATTCTATTCAATATCTGATTTATTAATTTAAGAACTCGTCAGCATGTTACAGATTTCATGAACGTTTGACTCTTTGTGTGTGTATGTATGTGTTGGATGGAAAATACAATAGCTTAGACATGGAGTGTGGGTAGATGTGGGACTTTGTATCTCTGTGACATCTTGACCAGTCTTGGCAAGCAGTTTTTGCCATTTCTATACTTTAAATGTACTTGAAATACAGTGAGAACCTAGTGAAAAATAATGGAAAAATAAAATGTTGGGGGAAAGAAGGGCTGCATTAAAATAAAAATGCTAATACTAGAAAATATTAGATCTCCATCAGCATTCTTAGATTGCATTTCTTTCATATGAATAAATCAAAATATTGCTCTGGGACTTGAAAAAGTCTTCATAGTGTAATACGTTAAAAGACTATTACTGTAATAAACTAACAAATTTTACTTGACTTTCACCTCTCTGCAGTGATGGAATTAGTAGCCAATACATAATCCATCTTTTTCCCATTCATCTCTTACTCCAAAAGTCTCAGAAACAGGAACCATCTGGCCCATTTTTAGAAGAAGTGTAGGTGGAGCAGAGGTTCTGAGCACTTCGGTATCCTGTAACAGTCCTTGCCACAGCTGTCGCACTTGCTGTGTTCATGCATTTTATTTAGTGAGGCATTGGCAGCAGGAGCTTTGAAGGCTTTCTCTCTGAGGCTGTGGTTATCATGCTCTGAGATGAATCTGCTTAAAACATGATTGTGCAACATAGTTCTAGTTGTGTTTTAATTCCACCCAGAGTCATAACACTGTTAGGGAAAAAAAAAAAAAAAAAAAAAAAAAAAAAAAAAAAAAACAGCTAAGCAGTTTTTAAAAATTAGGCTTCAAATTCTGCTATTCATTCATCATAAATATATCATTATTCAATGGAGTCACTATTGGACAAGGTAAATTGGAGTGCCTTAATCATGTTTTTCTATGACTTAACTTGTGTCTTTTTTTTTTTTCAGTGTTTGTTTTGAGGATAATTGCAACCCCTTGGCACGTTTGTACCCCTGAGTTATTGATACATATTCTTAAGCCAGAAGAGCAGAGTTTAGCTCAGGAAATACTTAGTGAGACTGCTTGTCAGAGAGGATTTTAAGCAAAAAGCTCAGAGCAATTTTGTTGCTTCATACAAGTTTAAAATCTTTACAGACATAGATGTTTAATTAATGAAATCTACACAACCCATGGCCAAGTGAGCAATAAGCTGTCAGTAAATTATCCCCAGCAGATGGAAGGAAAAAAGTCCTGCTGTTATTGGAAGGGTGTTGAAGAGCATGTAAGAAGTGAATATTTGCTTTTCCAATATACCTCTAGAGTACAGATTAACAACTAGTCAAATTCCATGTTCTTAGTCTCTCAAATAGTCTGGGGTGCCTGGCTAACAACGTGGCTGCAAGAAACAGTAACTAATGTTTTAGACTCATCTTGGGAAGCCTAAATTTCCTGTATACCGTTACACAGAATAAGGTGCCTAAACACCTTTAAAAATATTGTATTACAGGACAGACATATATTTTGCTAAGGAAGTTCATTGCCATCATGTACTTCTGTACGCTATAGGTGTAACCCAGATCATGGGTGGGTGGAGGAGGCACACCATTACCCTTGCTGGGGCTCTGCTGTTCCTCATACTCCACCACAGAAAGACAGACTTTTTATCTTCATGACAGACTGAGAATGGGGTTGTAAAGGGTGTAGCACAATTTTGCTTTCTGCCTGTAAGCTTCAGCAATTGGTTGCAACAAAAATGTAAAACAGTCTTATTTTGCATGATTAAATGAAGATTGACGCTAGATCAAGTTATTTGTTGAAAGTTTGTGATTTCACATAACTGACTATAGTTTTGAAGTTAACAGTATTGTGCCCATAAATTACTTAGAAACACTTCTGTATTAACATGGAGCAGCCTTTGAAAAGCTACATGCTGAATACCCATTAGCTACATTTATGAACTTTGACACCATCATTTGCCAAATGATATTAATCTTTTAAGTCACCACAGCATATACAAATATTGGAATAGTTTGGGTTTTTTAATTTCTTAATCCTGAGAGATTTCAGGGATCATTCAAAGCATTGATGGAAGTTTTTGAAGATGAATCATGTGCAAATATAAGGACAGATAGACAGCTACTCCATGTCTGGTGCCAGCAAAAGTTCCCTGTCACATCCCAACCATCATGTTACAGACTTAAACCCATCAAACCCCGCTACTAAGAAAGGTCCATGGTCACTTTGGGCCAGACTGTACGCCTCCGGCAGACTGGGAACCTGGAACACTCCCTTCAATAGGTACAGAATCAGTCCCTAGACCTGCTGCCAACAAATCTGGATGCTATTTTAGCAGATACCTGGTGCTTCTTGAGACACAACCAGGTTCACTGACCACCAGTTCTTTCAAATTATGTTTGCATGTATCTCCACATGAGAAAGACTTGGAACCTAAAAACTGCCCTAAAGCAGTCAGGCTGTTAGAAAGATTGGTTCTAAATATCCAGTATCAAGTTTTGGTTATTGTTAGTCTAGAGTGACACGAGCTTGTGCAGCTTGTGAAAAATAAAAGGGTCCTACAGTGTTAACTATCTCCAGAACCCCAGCAAAAAGAATCTTTGCTACTGTTGTCTTTCTGTATGAGCTTTATTCCTAACATGGTTTGCACTGCACTTCACAAGCTTTGCTAGCACTTTGAAACATCATTTGTATGAGAAATACCAGACCTGGCAATGTGGTGATATAATACACTAATAAAGCAAATTCTGTGCAATATTCAATAGGAAAGAATTCTTATTTTATGAAGAATTTTTATATAATATATTTTTCTTAAAAGCAAAGAAACTATATCACCCATAATAAATCACTCTAGGCACTCATTAATGACTTTGTTAACCATTTCCACCCTCTCTGTTTCTAAATTATGGAAACAAATTTTGGAGTGCGGTTTGAGGCAGTTGAATGCTCCAGCATTCTGCTGTGAATCCAGAGATTTTTCTTAAACCTCTTGCACTATTTCCAAAAACGTTAGAAATACTTTCATGGCAATGGAATACAAGAGGCTGTCTTTTTCTATAAAATACACACATACACACACATTTTCCTTCCTGATTTTCTTTGCATGTGTCAGTTAGGCAGGAATTCTATAGCACTTAGTAGTTGCTGATGTAGAAATGACTGCCAAATGAATGGTTTATACTGGAATATCTCATTATTTATATAAGTATGCTGCAGTATGGACATTTAATTTAGTTCTCATTCCAAACCCATGACAAGTCACTTTGACACCTTTAAGAAACATTTCACATATGGTAAGATGCAGCATTCAAAATTGTAAAAGGAAAAAAATATATGTGACTCCAATTAAAGCAAAGATTTTTAAACAATCAAAGGAAATACTTCAATTTTGAACTTATGCATCTTAGCCATTTACTCTTTAATAATTTTAATGGTGAATTATTATTTCTGGGAAACAAGGATGGTACAGTAGGCTTGGGTGCTGGCTCTTTTCACTCTCAGAAGACCTAGCACAAAATTTTGCATACATTAATGGAAATGTGTTTTTTTTATATATATGAAAAGTTAAAGCCTTCAAAGGAAGTTCTGATACATTGTGGGGCTGCTGCAGAGCTGAACATGAGGGAATCGAGACACCAAGCGCACGTACTGAGACAGCCAGGTAGGGATTTGGTACTGCACCTGCACTCCTATACCTGTCTCTTACCATCTTGTAGCCTTTCACTTCATGAATAAAAATGTCCTGTTTTATCCCTCACTCCATGCAAATATACCATTTTAGCTAAAATACATCACTGCCATAAAACATTTGAATTAAATCAAACTACTTGTGTAATGGAGCTGACTGGAAAGTAGCACCAAAGGTTGATTTACAGTGTAGGCTAGGTGTGGAAGTGTTTGGTTTCAAAGCTGACAGTTTATACAGAGCACTTTCTGTACAACGTGTGTGTTTGAGCCATAAAGTCTGGCTTTGGGGAGGCAACTGTCTGGGTACTACCAAGCTTTGGGGTGCAACAGAAGCACTTAATGATTTGTTGTGCTCCTTGACTATGGCTTTGCAACAAAGCAATTATGTCTGGCTACTCAGACAGCAGCAAACAGGCATGCACATGTGGGGAAATACCCTATTTACAGCTAAATGCTTCTTCCAACACACTGTGCCTTGGGGGATTCTCACAAGAACAAGTAAGAGCCTTTCAGCACTTGCCACCAAGATGACAATGCACAGAGGTGCCTGAGTTGTGTAGTTCTTGCCTGAGCCTGCAGTGGCCTGGTCTTGTGTGCAGGATGGAGGTGGGCTCCAGGATCCACTGGGTTCTGGACATATGTATAAATGCATATGCAGAAAAAAACAGATAGTCATAAAATTATCAAAGATAAAGTGAAATTATTTTCTGTCTAGAAATAACTGTATATAACAAAAAAAAAAAAAAAAAAAAGTGTTTGATAAAAAGACACTAATTGCCACTAAGACAAAGGCTTAAAAGACACAGAATACAAGTAGCTTAGGGATTTTTTGTTTGTCTTTGAAAAACTCTTTTGAAGAACAAGGGCTTTTAGCCAACACAAATATCAACATTATCCAGTGTTACCAAAATAAAGATTAAATACTGACAGTTATATGTTCTGATTTTTTTTAATCCCTGTTCTTCTTTCCTCTACTACTTTGGATCTGCCCTAACTCCTGTGTGCCCCTACTCTCCAACCTGCTATTCACCCCTCCATTATAACCACAAGTTGCTCCCTTGACCCTAAGTATGAGAATCAAGATTATGTTCCAAGAGCATCTCAGAGGAAAGAAGGGAAAACAATAGCTAGACAGTTTTCCTACTTTTGTGCATGCATGTGTGTTGTCCTAGAACATATTCTGTGTCCTTTCAAGGGCTGTGCACCCCCTCCTCATACCAACCCTTTGGAGAAGCAGCCATCAGCCCCCTGCAGCACATCGGGTGGCTTTGCAGCACTGTGAACTACAGGAGTATACAGGTGAACTCCAAGACAGCCAGTGGGGTTGTCCAGCTCGGGGCCCCAGATTTTAAAGTCATCTAGAATCTGTAAGAAGGGGAACTGTGCTTTTTGCAAGGAGGCTTATGTGTGTCCTGAGCCAGCTAGTTTGTTACAAAACTGATATTTTAATGGAGTCTGCGAATGTTTGTGCTAAATGGAAAATGAAAGGGGACTACCCCACATTTAATGAAACAAAACACAAGTGAGTCAGTCTTTAAATCTTTCACCAGATAATTTCTCTCTCCTAATGTGCTCTTTCTATCCACTAATTTGACAGTGTGTTCTTTTAAATGTAGGTACCTGATCGATGTCCCTGTGTAAGTTCATCTGGCTGATGAAACAAAACAGCAATACCTAATGACAATGTTTGGCACGGGCACAAAAACAATCAGTCTCTACCATTTATCTTGAGATTGCATGCAAAGTACTCTGAAATAAAAACATACTACATCTCTTCTATTTTTTGATGTTGAAAGATTTAAAAAGTGTAATCCACATTAAGCTTCTACATTTCACCAGCCAAGTCTGACTGAAAAGTGTGTGCTTTTAGATGGTAACGGCACTATTCATTGTTGCTTCTAACTTTGCAACTGTGTTTTTTTTTTTCCTGCTCTTCCTTATGGAATTCCTGAAAGTGATTTGCCAAATCATATGTGACATTTAATTCATATAACATTCTTTTTCTCCTTTTTCTTAAGTGAAGCTATTAAGTTAAAACTTGAAATGGAATCTCATGCGTTCACCTTGAATGATGAAAAATAAACCACAAAACAGAGATGTGAGCAAAGTTATAAATGGGCATTTGAGAAATGCTTGGGTTATTCTTAATGTTTCTAAATCAGGCACAATGTTTCCAGTATTTACAACTAAATCTATGTGCTGTATTTAGAGAGCACTTAACAGCTAATGATACACGTTTTCACTATTTAGTCAATCACAAACAATTATATATTTATGTCTTCAAACTTTGTTCCTATCAGTTCCACTGAATATCCATTGAAAAATAAACTGAATATCCACTGAAAACCAGCAGTGACTTCCATGCCTGGCAGAATCCTACTGGACAAGGTTTTGAACTGACTTTTACTAAAACCACCTTCAGAATACAGCATCAGTTGATACATTGCCCTGCTTGTTCTATTTACAACTTAAAGGTTTCCAGTAGTTACTAGGCAGGTTGCTTAATCTCTAGAACCTTCTTCCCACCAAGCACATCATCTACCCAAGCCTATCTCCCATGGTCCCTACTGCCCAGCCAAAAGTAAAAAATGCAGTGAACTTTATCTTTTTCATAGAGTTTTAGGACCAATCAGGGGCAGAGGAGAGATAATACATTCATATGCTTGTTTTTAGATTTATTTCAGCGGAGGACCTAGTGGTGTGAAGGAGTGTCTCATGCTGAACAGTTTTCTCTTCGCTCTGGTACACTGGAGAGAACAACATTGCAGTCCCGAGTAAATATATTAAGGATTATAGAGACTCTGAGCTAGACACATGGTCGACTTTCTTCATGTGCTGAATCACCCTTGTCAGGAACTTCTTTAGAGACCTAATATGGCAATCTGTCATTCACAGAAAGGAGCACGTGGAGTGTAAAATGCTGTTACTGGAATTTATCAAGAGCAGCTTCCATAATCTGTTACACTGTAAAAATGTTCACATTTTAGCATGCCAAGGGAGCTCTAGCACTGATACCTTCAACAAATAGGAAGCACATGGTATATTAAGCTTGTTTCCTCTCGAGTCCACAGTTTAGTTTTAGAGAATACATATGAAGAGAAAATCCAGGCATCAGCTGCCCAGGTTAAAAAGGCAAGGCCTTTTCTTGTGTGACTGAAATGGGAAGTCACATAAAGCAAATGGACTTGTCAGCTTTCCTTTGCTCCTTTTTGTTTCTGAGGTTGAACCGCAGTCAGAAGATACATCTGTGCATGAAAAATACACAGTGTTGGAGTAAAGCAAGCAAAGGGGGATTTCATGAGCAAGGTTGCCTTTCTCTAACAAGAAATCAGTTCAGGTGATCATATTGCTTTGGTCTATCACCCAAACTCATCTGAGCCCTCAGTGAAGGTATTGTAGAAAATCCAATCTGCATTTACATACCTTTCTACCAAACCATTCAATAAACCAGTTGACAATTTATATATATATATATACTTTACACAAAGATAAAGAACAAGTTATGTATTAACAGACACCTTCCTCCAGTACCTGTTTGCTGGCTCCACAACAAAAGAATGTGTTTTGTAAACTCTACTGCATGTTTCATTGTTTGTCAAAGAAATATATCTGATACAACCATATTCATAACCCTTACTTAGCAAAAATCCCATTAATGTAATGAGAAGATGCAAAGACTAGGCCTTATTTATAAAAAGTTTGAGTAAAGTCCATATGTATGTGTTTGTGCATATGTATATTTAATGTATATATGCATACAACATCCATAGGCATACACTAAGAAATTCTTCCTTTTCTTTCCCCTGGCTGATAAGTTAAATGGAAGTTTTGTAAGGAATGATGGCTTGAATTCCTGCAAGTATTAACCCTGAGTTTCAGCTCTGAATTTGCTCTGATATCTTCTGTTGTTCCCTCATTTTAATGTTCATGTTCCTCTTAATTTACTGAGGATATTAGGTGTATCAAGCTGAACAAGACAAGAGTCTACTCACATGTATGTATTTTCTCACTTAAAAAAGAAAACACATATCTGTATTTGCATTTTCTTCCTGTATCTGTTATGAATCTAAGCATTTGAGCACAGGAAATATTGGACAGTCTCACTCAAAAAGTTTCACCCAGCATGCAACTTACTATTCATTATTATTTTTAAATTGCGTGGTTTTATTGTATAGATTGTTATTAAAAGATAGGATTACTCAAGTGCTAACTTCTAATAGAAGTTTGGACAGACAGGGAGGCCAAGGAACCAAGGTCATGCGGTTATTTTGGTTTGCTGTACATGAAATAAGATGGTTCTTCTGATTATTACAGAAATCCATATCCTCCCTTTTGTACACTAATGAAAACTTTTTAGAAGAAAATATTGAGAGATCTGTACATAATACAGATTTCATAAAACTATAAATTCTTGGCACACTAGTTAGGCATATCTAACTTATGTGTGCCTAATCTGTATTTTTACTGGATTTCTCTATCCAAGAGTTCTGCTAGCTGTAGATTACTTCCACACAGAAACACACGCATCTGGGTGTTAGCATCTGTGCAAGATTTGATCAGTTGCATATTTGCCTGTGAATTTTCAGATGTAGGCAAAAAAATCCTATTTCTTGAGGACTATATAAGGAAATAGTTGAAGTCTTAACATGACATCATATTATTCAGCAGCAGAGTATCAACCTGCATCACCACACAGTACACAGTAACAAGTTGTTTATTTAACATATGGCAGGAAAAGTGCCTGCTTCATCAAACTCTACATATAATGATCATCTAAACATTGCTGCTTCTACAGTGCCTTGGAAAAGTTCCCTTTCTGCTCAAAATGATTGAGTGAGGATCACATTATGGGTCTCCAGAGATCAAAATAAGTCTTCTTGAAAGAAGAACGGTGTACATCTGCTTTACTGTTGAAGGTTGCATAATATCAACCATATCTCAACACCTTTTGGCGTCCTGGAAGACTAGCCCAAAGCAAATACACACCAGGAACAAGATCTTGCATTTCTTTGATGCTTTCAGATTACTCTAAGAGACATAGTCAGAGAGATAAACGTTCATCATCTCGTCCCCAAGGAATAGAAACATTTTTTAAGAGTCGTAATTAATAATTAAGTGACTCATCTTCCTAAGATGCCTGCCTGACATTGAAGACCAAAGTGACTTTGCATAGTTCTGTAACAGTTCCTCCTCATGAAAATATTACTCTTGCAATATTGTCAAGATTTGTGCTAATCCTAAATGGTCAGTCAGTGTGCCAGGTGCCTAACTGGGAGATGCCCAAGGGAAGTTCTTCAACATCACTGGAAGATTTCAAACTTTTTCTCTTGTAAGCCCCCTTCTACTAGTTCTTTCATGCCAAAACCCCTTTTTCCCCCTACTCTTTCCAGTTCTTCGGAATCCCAGTCCAGAGCTCACCACTGCTGGGGTGCCTTCCATTAACTTTTGTACACCTGGGATATTTCCCCTATTACTTTTTACGTAAATACAAATTGCACAGATAATGATGACAAATACAAAGCATCTTTAACAGGATGGAAATGGGGTCCATCCATGGTCTCAGATTTCTCTGACAGGTAGATTACTGAATAAAAATAAAGGCTTTGGTCAGTTGAGTTTGAAACACCTAGACAAATTTCTCGAGAATGTGAAGCAAAGTACAAGCTCTCTAATTACATGAAAATAATTATAGTGTTTTACATTTACATTGCACACTTCTGTCTTGGAGTTGGCCATGGATTAGTGATCCAATAGAGATGTGCAGTTTCTTATTCAGCTAGAGGAAAAAAAAATAAAATAAAATAAAAAATAATAAAAAACATGACTGTTGCCTTTAAAAATTAATCTGTGAAAATAAAAATGCTCCTGACTCCTCCCTCCCTGTTTGTAGCTCCTTGCCACAGAGGATTCTGAGGTGACCACAGGCATACTCTTTCTCCTTGAACTTTCCCTAGCTGAAACTTTCCCCCATGATGTAGCCTCCTCATACTTTCTGCAGCTGTAGAGAAAATAGATGTTTTATGGACTGAATTCATCCTCTCCCATCCCTCCAGGAGTCTGTCACCCAGCTGAAGACTTCATCCCATTTAAGGCCAGAGATCACTGCATCCAGCCTGGGCTGGCCTCCAGCAGTCCCAGGATCATTTGTGCTATCTACAGCCTCCTCTGCTGTCACTGGGACTGTGTTTTCTTCTTTTGTTTTGCAGTCTGTTTATTCTTTTTGCTCTGACCCATTACACTAATGGTTCCATTTCTGTTCTCTCTAGTCAAATGTCTCAAAGAGCAATCTGATGAGTTAGGAGAACCATCTTCAGGCACAGCCCTCTCCTTACTGAATTAATACTGCTTGTTCACCTCTGCCAGCCAGAAGTCTGGCATCCAGTTTGGCATGGAGCACTTTTCCTTCTCTTATGTACATTAAACATGCTTATTACACTCTAGCTTCCACATCATAACTCAAGTAACTCACCCAATTATACCTCTTTACTTTCTTCTCTTGGAAGCTGAAGCTCACTTCTTTACGATGACTATAAGGCCCAGATCCCAGACTTCTTCCATGCATGCCAAATGCTGCTGCCAACCTTCCACTTGAAAATAAACATGAACATAACACCCTCATCCAAAAGTGTATATGTTTCAGAATGCTGATCAGAGAGGAAAAAAATAAATAAAATTTAAAAAGATAAAATAGAATAAAGAAAAATCCTTTATTCTGTAAAATTCTTCCTGGGCTTTGTCCAGTTTATCTCATGCTCCATTCCTTTCTTCTACCAGATCTCTTACGTGACTGAAACCAACAGGACCTCGTAATTAAGGAAATGTTTATCAAGTTAAATTACTGTGATGTGGTTATTCTACTGTTTAGATTTTTTTTAAATGACAATCTCAGTTTTTCCCTGAAGTAAAATTAAACAAATCTTAATTAAAACAGTTAGACATACATAAATACACATAAACATACACATATACATACATACATATACATATATATATATATATATATATATATATATACACTTTAACAAAAATTTTCCTGATTGTTTTCTGGCTGTGGAAGGTAGCAGATATACAAAAATTAAGAGGTAGTTATACAAGAATCCCACGCTTTGCAACTCTCTGTCACTCAGTGAAATCTTTGGCCCTACATTAAGTATCTGGTCTTCCTCTGCAACTTATGCGGAGAATGAAATGATTTAAGCACTATTAAACTCTGTTAGAAGAATGAAAAAATAAGGAGTCTGAAGAAGGTGGCACTCAAGAAGTCCCTTCTTGCAATGTTGGTTAAAATGTGTCCCTATTGCTAAGTGAAACATGGCTAGGAACAATTCTCAGGCCCTCAGGCTAGGTCACTTGGTCTTTGAATTCCAAGTAGTGCCTCTGTGGTTCAAAAAATATGTATTATTTCCTTTCAGTTTTTAGTTCTGAGTATTGGGGATAATATAAAGTATGCATTGTAAATTATTCAAGGGATATTTTAATAGCATGAAACACTGTTGAAGTGTGGACTGAGGGCATAGAATGGGACTTGGGACTGCAAAAATTCCTGGGACAGTGTTGGAGGAGTGGAATAGCATGGGATAGAGGGAGCCAAACCAGGTACAATCTAGTGCAGACAGCAGCTTGGTAACAATCGGTAACGTGCACAGCACCCCCAGCTACTGCTGTAGAGAGATCATGGCCAAAACTGCGCCTGGGAGCATGCTGGCAGCCAAATGTGATGCTCAAGCTCATGCCCCTTCGTGCAGTATGCAGTGCTGGTGTCCACTGCTGCTGGTATCTGATATCTGCTGGGGAGAGGCTGTACAATTACACACCTGACCATGCACAAATGACTAGACTGTTGAAGACAATAGAAAAGGGTATAGCAGCCGAGTAGAAGATTATTTCTTAACCAGCAAGTTATAGAGCCTTAGCCTTTCCTGCTTTAGTAGCTTAACTGCCTGAAAACAAATCCAGAATTTACTGGACTGGCCTTTTCTGCATATTAAATAATCAACAAAGTCAATATCAGACTAGTCTTAAAGTCTCTGTTTAGAACAAAGATAAAATTGATGAAAAAAAATTGAATGAAATGGGACACCAGGTCTGTTTAAATTGCATAACTTTTCTGGGAATTAAAAGGTCCGTGGTGCACTTGAACTGATTCAAGAACCTATGAAATAAAGGAGAGAAGATATCAAAGGGCAGAGGCAAAATTAATCCAGGAAAGAGGAGGCTTAAACAATTCAAGAGGAAAATACAGAACATTTTCACAAGTTCGGAAGTAGCAAATTTTCCACTGGAAAGTGGATCAGCTTTAAACTGCAGTTAAATTATCTAAACTGTCTAACTTTCCACAAAGCTTTTCCCTGTAGTTTTGATCTGTGTACAAAGCTTCTGAGAGAACTGCAAGACATGACAAACAAGCTAAATTGCATTTCCTAAATTCTGTAAATAATGCAATGTTGTTACTCCTTACAAAATTTTGGGAAGTTAAAACAAATTGAATGCATTGCGAAATTTTATGAAATGTCACAATACATGTTAATTCATATTATACGTATTTAAATTCAAGTTCAAATTATACATATTAATTCTCCTGGTTTTAATTGATAGAGTCTTGCTTGGTTTTATTTATCCACAACGGCAAATTATATAAATTATTTAAAACGGGAAAGAAATCCCCAGTGAAAACAGATTTTGGGTAAGTCAGTTAGTGTTCTCTGACACTTATATATGCGTGTGCATTACTTGCTATCTCTACCTTACATTTCAGCTTGTCCTAGTGCTGCAGTATCTAACCAGTAGGTAGGTGTTTATGGGCACACGGCTCAGTAGACTGCGGAAGAACTCACGTAAGGTCTTCCTGCGGGGAAAATAAAATCCCACAGGTCCATAAATCCTGCTTGCTCCCCGATCCTTGCCGAGGATACCTGTGTCGAGGGGCAACTGTAAGATGGGAATGGCGGATGCTCTGGGGACTGCTCGTCTCGTTTTTGCCGTGCGAGGGATGCAGGAGAGGGTGGGACCCCCTGGGACCTCTTGGGACCGCTGTGCTCGGCGTGGGGGGGACACCAGCCCGTGGTGGGGCAGGGCAGGAGGAAAAGACCACGGAGGATTTCTGGCCGTGGCCACGACGTGCGTGAGCCACCTGGGGGACGGCGCGGGGGCGGTTTTAGGCTCCTGCAGCCGCTCGTCCGGAAGCCGGCGGGACAGCAAGGACGAAGCCCTGCTTCCTCCCGGCAGCGCTGGGAGCTGAGCCTTAGAGCCCTCTAGTGAGATTTCTAGGAGCGAATCTCCCCCTCCGGCCCTCCGGGGCCGGCCTCGACGCCGCCCGGGTTCGGGGGGCCGGTTTGCCTCGTATAGGGGAGCCGAAAATCCGAGCGGCGCGGCAGGAGGCGGCTCGGGGGCTGTTTCCCTCGGGGCGACGCTCTCTCGGCGCCCCGAACCCCGTCCAGAAATTCACCGACACCCCACCCCTAAGACCCTGAGGTCCCCCAGCCCGAGGGCGGGGGTCGCACGGCCACCAAGCAGGAGATGGGCACGGCCAAGGCCCTGAAGATGTCAGCTGCCTGGGGAGGGAGGGGAGAAGGAGAGGAAGGGCGGCCTGTTCCTAAAAATACTCCCCGGTTACATCCCCGTGAGCCAGGGATGGAGATGGTAACAAAAATGCCTTGAATCAGTAGGAGCAGTGAACAATCTTCGTGCTTTTCCTCATCATCTTGGAATAATCAGTGGAATTAACTGAGGTCGAGGAAACAGGCTCTTGGGTTAGTTGTGGGAGGCTGTGAGAATAGGGGGCAGCCATTAAAAGAAACCTGATCGCTATTCATCAACTCGGAAGAGGGGAAAGGAGGAGGAAAAAAAAAATAAAAGACCTTCGTGGCTCGAGCTCATACCAACCTGGTCTATCTCTGATCAAGAAGATCCCTGGAAACAAGAAGTTTACAAATATTGTCAAATTGATGCTTGTAGTGTGATTTAAGTTGTCAATCCTGCAGAAGCCCACCAGAACTTTGGACGCAGTGCCCTGCATTTCTGGCTAGTTATTGCCAATCCCCTAAGGCGGAAAGCTCCCTCTCCTTATTTTAACCATATGTGCCTTTTGTTGTTGTTGTTGTCTTGTCTGTAAAGCTCTCCGCTCAGTCCTCCCGTGCCGCGGAGCATCCGAGGTGCAGCCCGCAGCCGACACCGGGGCGGGGGCTGGCTGGGCTCCGGCAGCCCCCCGACGGGTGTCCCACTGCCGCGGGACAGGAGCCTGGCTGTGGGACGGGGGGAGAACCCCAAATCAATGTTGGTGCTGGGGGTGAGGGTGAAGGAAGCGAAAACCCTGAACCCCGATCCCGAGATCGAGAATGGGCCATGAGAAGGTAGTGGGGCGGCGGGGGGGCGGCTGTAGGGTTTGTGGGGAGCACGGAAGGCTGCAGAGCCTTGAGAGAGGGGCACGGAGCCTCAAGATCCCTCGAGACCCCCTCGGACAGCCCTCCGAAGCCGTCCATCTTCCTGAAAAATGCGCAGCCGCTGCTCGGGGCCCCCTGCCCGGGCACCCCGGCGCCCCCGCCCCGCCCGGCCCCTCTCTTAGCATAATCGAGTTACCCGCTACATAGCTGGCATCCTCGGCGGCTCCCCCCGAGGAACAGCGCGCAGCTCGCTGCAAAAAGCTTCCAGTTCTTCCTCTCGCCCCAAATCACGGAACAACAAGCTATTGTTGTTTGTCTTAATTTCGTTATTCGCGGTGATCCCGGTCATGTTTTCATTTTCGGTCGGGGCAGGATCTCGGGCTCTCTACGTGCCATCTGCGATGGGCTAGAGCCCGTTTTGTTTTGAAACAAAACGCAGAAATCAATACACGCGGGAATAAAGCGCACAGGGGTGGGGAGGGGGGCTGCAAACTGCCGCCGTGGGGCCCGAAACGTGTGCGATGGGGTTCCCGGGAAGGGGGGCACGAAAGAGGATGGGGAACGGACAGGACACGCAGGCCTGGGATCCTGGCAAGGGTCTTTACGATTTATAAAAAAGATAACAGGAAGAGCAGGTTAACTGCTGGAGGGTTTCGTCCACGTCAGTCGTCTGGTTTTAAAGGGCAGGCATACTGTGTTCGCCTTCTACCCCCACCCCCACCCCAAAAAGAAAAAAGAAAAAAAAAATGAAATAAACGAAAACTTGGAGTTGTTTGTCGCTTGCTCTCCCTACAGCCCCTGCCACGGTAGTGGGCACATGTGGGCAAGACATGAGGATTGCCGGGTTGGCCATTTGCTTGCTACCAGGGCCGAGAAAAGCGTCCCACCGACACCCTCCGTCTCCCTCCCTCCGTCCCCACGCAGGGAGCTGAGGCCGACGGCAGGATCGTGAGTGTCCTGCGTGTCGTGGGGGCTTGCCATCGCCACAGCCACCGCTCTGCCTCCTGCTTCCCCCGGTGCCCCCCAGGCACAGCCGGAGGCGTTTACGCCTGTGTAAAAGGGATATAAGCTGCAGGGCATGGGAGGGGGGCACAGGGGCCGCAGTCGGGGGGCCGCGGGGCAGGCTGCAGGCAGGAGGCTGGGAGGCTCCGTTTCTGTGTGTCATGGAAGAGGTGCGGGCCCGCAGCCTCCCGTGCAGGCTGCTGTCTCGAAGGAGACGGTGGAGACACCGCCGAGAGGGAGATTCTCAGATAACCGCAGCGTTGTCCTGGCACTCATTTATGGACACAAGGCAGTAACGTGCAATTAAAAGTTCCCAGGAAGCGACACGTTCAGCCCCCCCTTCCCTCAGCAAGTCCTCGTCCTGGTTAATAACGGGAGCGTTACGAGAGAAAAAAAAACGACTTTTTTATTTTCCTCCTATTTCACAGCCACTTGCGCTGACACTGCCGGTCCCGCACGCTGCCTGGTGCTCGGCAACGACTTCCCGGAGGGGCCAGACCTCTGCTGAGGGTGTCCTGGGGTCAGTCACACCGCTTCCCTGGCCGGCACCGGGATGAACCCGGGGCTCCTGCGCCGGGCACAGCGGGGCCGGGAGCAAGTTTGGGGCAGCCCAGAAAAGCCTTTGGCTGCGGCTGCACGGAGACACCCCTCAAAATGTTCCCGTCGGACGGGGGGCAAATGTTACCAGGCGATTGCTTCTTGCTCTGAAATATAACTGCAGTGAACGAGCTCTTTTGCACATGCCAGAAAAGCTCCTCGCCTGATCGTTTGATTCCCTCGCAACTTGACTCGCCCCGTGCCGGGGCTCAGCAGCCGGTATCTGCTCCCTCTTCTAGCACTAATAGGAAGAATTTTCTTGCCCCAAAGTTAAAAGCAGTTACAGAGCATTGGGATCCAGCTGTCCCTAATTTGCAGACGCTCTGGGAAGCGGCGACACACGCCGCCCGGCCACCGCCGCCCGAAGTGAAAGCGCCTGCGGAGGGGCTTGCGTGTAGGGTCCGTACTCACATTTTAGGGAGCTAAGAAGAGATTTTCTCAGAGCTCCGTCCACGCAACAGGTTTTGACATCTCCTTTCCGGCTAGGGCGAACAGCTGCTCCCATTCAGCCTTCGCCGCTGTGGTTCTGAGACGGAAGGAGAGGAAGCGGAGTCAGGTAGATCCCCGATAAACGTGCAGCGACAGAGCGCGGTAGCACGGAGGCGGGAGGGGAGCCCAGACCTCTGCAGCTCTTTTGTCTTTTGCTACGGCCCCGGCCGCCGAGGGGAGCGGGACGGCGCCGGATTCTCCCTTCCGAAAGTCGCCCGGAGTAAGCACAGAGGTCGGGGATGGGAGAGGGGATCCGTGCTTCCCGGGGGTGGGAGACGGGATCTGTGCTTCCCTCGCCGTGTCTGTTCGGAGGAGCATTTTTGAAGCAGATCCTCTCTCCCACCCCGCGGCCGTCCGCTGCGGCCCCAGCTGCGCCCCATCCTCCGCTGCGGCTGAGCGGGAAGCGCGGAGAGCGGGACGCAATCGTTTCCAAACAAGCACGGGTTGAATCCCGCAGGAATCGGCCAGCGGCAAGGCGTTGAGCGGCCGAGTGTTAATTCTGCTCGGGGGGGAGGGAGACTGGCGCAGGGGGGCTTTACGGACCCGCCACCGACGTTCCCAAATTCGTTTGAAACGAATGCCCTGCAAAGGAAGCCCCGGCTTTGCTCTGCGCCCCCCGGGCGAGCCGAGGCGGGGGCCGCCCGCTTCCCACGGCTTCTGCACGGCTGCGGAGAGGCTCGCACAGGTAGGCGGGCACCGGGCTTCCGAAACGGGGCTCACCCGAAAAACTCCGCACACGGCCGGTGGGTGCGCACAGGCGCCCCGACGGGCCGGGCTCTGGCCGCTGCGGAGCCGCTGCCCCCCTTCGACTCCGGCTCCCTCGGCCCGGGGGGGGTTCGCCCGCTGCCGCTCGGCCTCGTCAGCCCCGGCCGGCTGCCCCGCAGGGCCCGGGGGCTCCGGAGGGTCGGGCTGCGGGGCGGGGAGCCGCGGCCGGGGCTTCCGAGGCCTCACCGAGCCCCCGAGGCGCAGGGGAGCAGCTGGGGGGCTGTCAGAAAGGTGGGAGCGCACGACGGCAGAGCCGAGCTGGGGAGGCTGCAAAAGGCGTCGGAAGAACTTGCTGGCGGCTGTGTTATTTCTCCCCCAAAACAGAACATTTCGGGCCGTGAAATCAGCCCTGGGGCCACGCACGGCGGCGGGGGGCATCCGAGGGGCTCCCGCCGAGCGCTTTCACTTGGGCTCCCCCCGGCGCCTGCAGCCCGAGGGCGCTTCCCGAGGGGGCTACGCCCGCCCCCGGGCCCCGCAGCCCCCCCGGCCGGCTCTCGCTTCGCCCGCACCGAGGGGACGGGGAAGGATAGGGGGTGACAAGGGGCCGCGCGGTCACGCCGAGTGTCCCCAACTTTTATGCTTGTCCCCCGGGGCGCAGCAGCCCTGCACGGGGCTGGAAGCGGAGCAGGAACCGACGTCGGGATCGGGAGAGGAAAGGCGAGCGGCGGGGCCAGGCGGGCACGGTTCGGGCCCTACCGGCAGCCGGTCCCCGCTCCGGGCAGGTACTGCCGGCGTGTAACGGGATCCCGGGTGGGAACAGGGTCCCTATTGTACGCGGGAGGCCCCTTCCCCAGAAAGCTCGCCGCCAGTTGCTGCTGGGCGCTGGGGAGGGGGCGAGGCAGCGCCTGGAGCAGGGAACTCGCCTCAAGGGCCGGGGCCGGGGGGTTCCCCCCGACGGGACCGGCGGGGGCCCGACGGGGCGGCGGCTCCCCGCTCCCCCGCTGCCGGTGGGTGCCCGCAGCGTCAATCACGGCGGCAATTTCTCCCTCGCTAGCTAATATCTCAGCTCGCAGGGCCGCCTCTGAGTGGATCTGAGCAATCTGTCAAGCCAGCCGGGGAGCCACCTCAAAACAGATCGGGTTACCCCTGATTGACAGCGTCACCATGGCAAATAATTTGACTAAAACTATTGTCTTCTCCTGGCAGTCCCCGGGTCAGATAACCGGACCAATCACAGCGCGGATAATCACTTTTCATGCCAGCTTAGAATAATATTATTAAAAAAAAGGGGGAGAGAGAGAGAGAAAGAAAGGGGGGAAAAACTCCGAGAGGGAGAGGAGAGAGGGAGCGGGGCTTTACCACTATATTATGTGGGATCTTTCGGCGGAGGGGGGTGGGGGGGAAGCAGGGAGATCCCAAACCGGCGGCCGAGGGGGGTGGGGGTGGGAGAGCCGCGGCCGCTGCGAGCGCTGCAGATAGGAGACAAAAGAGGCACAAAGTTCCTCTCGCAACTCGGACTTACAAAAAGGAGGCGGCCGGGGGAAAACGCCCTCCGCGCTCGGGCTCCCGAGGCTTTCTCCTCGCTCCTCGCCTTTTTTAAGCCGCTGCCTCGCCGGGGCCGGGCGCCGCCGATGGCCGCGGCCCCCCGCGCCCGGCCGTGACCCCCGCCAGGCCCCGCCGGGCGCCGCCGCCCCGGGGCCGGCCCCGCATGCCGGGCGCTGCCCGCCGCCCCGCGCCGCTCCCCTCTATGCGGCCGTAGGGTGCGCGGCGGGGCAGGGCTCACCATGTCGATGCTCCCGACTTTTGGCTTCACCCAAGAGCAAGTGGCCTGCGTCTGCGAGGTGCTCCAGCAAGGCGGCAACATCGAGCGGCTGGGGCGGTTCCTCTGGTCCCTCCCTGCGTGCGAGCACCTCCACAAAAACGAGAGCGTCCTGAAGGCCAAGGCCGTGGTGGCCTTCCACCGGGGCAACTTCCGCGAGCTCTACAAGATCCTGGAGAGCCACCAGTTCTCGGCGCACAACCACCCCAAGCTGCAGCAGCTCTGGCTCAAGGCGCACTACATCGAGGCGGAGAAGCTGCGGGGGCGACCCCTAGGGGCGGTGGGCAAGTACCGGGTGCGCCGCAAGTTCCCGCTGCCCCGCTCCATCTGGGACGGCGAGGAGACCAGCTACTGCTTCAAGGAGAAGAGCCGCAGCGTCCTCCGCGAGTGGTACGCCCACAACCCCTACCCGTCCCCCCGCGAGAAGCGGGAGCTGGCCGAGGCCACCGGCCTCACCACCACCCAGGTCAGCAACTGGTTCAAGAACCGCCGGCAGCGGGACCGAGCGGCCGAGGCCAAGGAAAGGTACGGCTTCCCCCGCGCCCGCGGCCCCTCGGCTTCGTTGCTCGCCCCCAGCTCCGTGGAGGCCGCCCCGACGGCGCCCGCGGCCTCCGGGGCGGAGGAGCCGGGAGACAGGCGGGCCGGCGCCGTGGGTGCTCCACGCGTGTCCGGGATGAGCAGAGGGGAAGGAAGCCCCCGGAGAGGCGGTCGGGCCCCTTGACCAGCCGAGGGGTAGCCGGGGGGCGGCGGGGCCCGTGCCGTCGGGGCGCGTCCTTGCGGGCTGCCCGCTGCCGAAAGGGAGCGGCGGGACGAGGGAATAAGGCGAGGGGAGAGCTGCGAAGGGAGCCCCCGAAATGTGCGCCCTGCAGATCGGGCCGCTTACGGGCAGACGGGGAGGGAAGACAACTCTCTGCCCTTGCTCGTGAAATTGCACCTCGGCTTCACCACCCAGCGCGGTGCTCACGCATGCATATTTCTATATAATATCTCCTCATACCGACCGTGGCTCCGAGACTGTGCTTTTCTCGTTAAATTGAGGGAAAGGGCCGTTAATTGCCGGCAGAAGTTAATGCCTGCGTACTCGGGAGTACTTTGCCGTCAGCCGGCCCTGTGCCTTAAAGACGGGCCGAGGAAGCGAAAAGCGTGTCCCAGCTGCGCTGTGCCTCCTTCCCAGCTCGCTCGATCAGCTCGTACGTCCTGCACGGTTAATTAACAGATGATTAGAAATCTCCCGCACCTCCGCGCCACGGAGGACACGCCGTTTTGCTTTTCTGCCTATCGAGGTTTGGAATAGGCGAGCGCCTCGGCCGCGCAGCTGTGCAGCCCGGCAGGTTCGGGCTCCGCACAGATTTGCTCCACGCATTTCCCCAAACGGTGCTAGCGCTTTAATTTTCTTTCAAATCCCTGCAAGTGTTGGTTTTACGAGATGTTAGAGATCCTTTTTATTGCTGATAGCAGGGACTCACCTTCGCATATCCAAAGGAAATGAAGGTTACACTTATTCCATATTTTTTTTTCCCGAGGAATCAAATTTTAAAGGTCTCCAGAGACAAATAAGATTTTTGACATTGAAAAATACACTCAACCTAATATTACACTCCAGGCGTTGGAAAACAGACCGTTCCTGGGATTGCCATTTACTCAAGTAACTTGTTCAAGCAGAGCTTTCTTTTCGATTTTTATTTTTTTGCCGCAATGTGTCTCAAGCCACATCCTGCTGCCCTCACCGAGCAAAAAATGTCGGCACAATGGCCACCCCTTCCCTCGAGCAAATCCTGCGGGATCGGGCCCTTCTGCCATGCAGCGTGTTCAAGGCTTCCGCAGAAGCTTTTGAATCCACTTAAAACGCCTTCAGTATTTCAGGCAGGGCTGTGTCTACAGGGTTGCTACTTCTAAAAGCCGAGTTAGCCTTGACAGGACGGTCGCCCCCACCACATCTTACCCCTCTTATTTCGAAAAAAAAAAAAAAAAGTTTTTTCTTTGTTTTTTTTTTGTTTTTTTTTTTTTTGTTTGTTTTGTTTTTTTTTTTTTTGAATGGGCTTGGCAAACCTCCAGCGATTTCTCGGTGTTTACCCGGGGGTGCCTCCCGGCACACCGTGCCGCCTTGCCCAGCCAGGCAGGCGGCCGGGGCTTGGGGCTCGCCCCGCAGGGAATGGGGCCCCCCCGGGCTGCGCCCTCCGCGCCGGGAACGGCAGCCTGAGTAGGGGAGAGCAGCCAGGGCTCGGGAAATAAGCGAGTTAACTCTGTTTGCTCGCCTTATCTTCCATATCGGGCTATGCTTTGAGCTTGGGGCGAGGGGGGGGGAAATGTCCGGTTACTTAAGCAAAAGGCAGGCTGGTGCTGGGCCGCAGCACGGAGCAATCCTGCGTGCAGCCGCCTCGCCTCGGCCTTGCTTCTCTTCAGCTCGGGGAGCAGTTTTCAAGTGTGAAAGCCTTTTTTTTTTTATTTTAATCCCTTCCTCTTCCCTTCCTTCCCCCCTTTCTCCCTCCCCACACCGTGTAAACGCTTTGTGATAGACGGAGGCAGAAAATGACGTGTTGGCAAAGTGACACTTTCCGCCGGGGTAGTGGGAGACTCTTGTTTACAAGCTCGGCGGCCCTTGGCCCTTTGTGCCAGACGAAGAGGCCCGGGAGGTTTGCAGAGTTTGGGAAGCCGCCGGTCCCGCGTCCCCCCGGTGACTTCCCTCCCTCTTTTGTGTTTCCTATAGGGAAAACAACGAGAATTCCAACTCCAACAGCCACAACCCACTCTCGGCGTCAATGAACGGGAATAAGACAGTTTTGGGGAGCTCGGAGGACGAGAAGACGCCGTCAGGGACCCCGGATCACACTTCCTCCAGCCCCGCGCTGCTGCTTAGTTCCAACCCTGGGCTGCAGCCCCTGCACGGCCTGGGCCACCCCCAGGGCCCCAGCGCCATCCCCGTGCCCAGCGCCGACCCCATGCACCACCACAGCTTGCAGGACTCCATCCTCAACCCCATGTCATCCAACCTGGTCGATCTGGGCTCTTAAAACCGTGTACACGCTCCCTCCTTCGCGCCTCCTTTACTCTTGCATATTTTTTTCCTTAATCTTACCAGAGACTTTTTGAAAGCGATGACAAACTCCTTAGTGGAAGTGTTGTGTGCCCTTTGGCAGCAGGCTGGCTGCAGGTTTGGAAGGCATTGGACTCAGCTGTGGGCAGTAATGGTGTAAAAAGCCTGGAGGGTTGCTAAAGCTGGTCCCAGGTGGGGACAGGCTGTCGGACAGGGCCTGTGGCTTTCATGCCAGGCCGTAACACGGTGCAGTGGGGCAGCTCCTCCCAGCCTTGATTTCCCAAATCTCTCGGTGGTGTTGCTTGGTCTGCCCGGTCTGTGGGTGAAGAGGCACATTGTAATTTTTTTTTTTGGGGGGTGGGGAGGACGGGGGGGCGCAAGGCCGCTGTTTACATGCCTGTTGGGAAGTTTCGCATCGCTCCCGCTATCCTATTGTAGTTATGTATCTGTGGCAGGTGTACGATGTACAATTTCAACTAAGAATACAAAAGTTGTAGTCAAGTTATAGCAGCGACACGCTCTAGGCAGACTCTGTAACCTTCTTGTAGCTGATGCTATGCAGAGAGGCGGCTTCTACGGCCTTGTCCATGTGGTGCTTTTGCCATTTGCTGGGTGGGAAAGGAAGAGATGGCCCGAGCCCGGTCCCAGCAGAAGGCAGAGTGGGGGGGGCAGATGCTGCCCGCGGCGTGCACCGGGGGCAGGAGCGGGCTTTGAGAGAAGAGGAACTGCTGCTTGAGTTTAGACCTAAACGACAGTATCAACCGCAAGTCACCCGACCTTAGTTTTG